TCCAATTTACTGTCCCTATTCAGGAAGGCGCGTAAGAGGTTGAACAATGGAACGCAAGGCGAAAACCCAAAAGAGGCTTATTTTTCTCGTATAACAATACTGAATTCGGACCGTTAATAACTTAAATCAAACCAAGAAGTTTAATAATTTATGCATATATAGGTGGGTAAATAAACAACAGTAAGTGCCCTGTATGTGCTGATCGAGCTTATGGCACTATTACCGAAACTTTCGTCCTCAGCCTCTAATATAATAAAGTCATAAATATTACATTTAAGACTATTCCGCACTGCGGTTGACTGTCTTGATCGCAACAAAAGGTTGAAACGATTTCTGCGTATCCGGCACGCAGAAGATGTAGCCACACTTTCGAAAATTCCATAGAAAGTGCTGATATTCATTTGAAATAGCGCACCTGCCACTTTCGCATGCATTTTGCCTTAACAGAATTAACCAAAGTCCCGTTACCTTTCCACCGACCCTTCATACTTCTCGACGTGATCCGCTTTTTGTCGCAACTGTCGGACTCTGTGACTTTTCAATTTACTTAGGCATTTTGTCTTCCATAGCTTACAGACAGGTCAAACAAAATTAGTATAGAGTTTTACTCTGCCCTAAAAAAAACTCGGAGCGTTTCAATCAGGTATTCGGCGATCAAGTGAGCAGTTCTTAAATTCCCTGTGCTCCCGGTCATGAGTTGGTCGATAACTGACTTGTGATGAAGAACAAATTCATGATGGTCCACTTAGTAGTAAATACTTTTGAGCGTCACTATTACCGAAAAATGTTGAAATATCAAAGTGCATATTCGCTCATTGGTGAAGATTTAGGCATCAGGAAGTGGTGAAAACAATGTGTCCATCCGAACATCCGAGCCTCTTACCGAGTTGATTAACAATCAAATGACAGATGGACAAAAGAACAATCTAAATTATAAGGTCGACAGTCAGGTTGGTCCTTTGGCGTTGAAGACAGTTGTGCTGACCACGATAGCAGTTACCATATCCGTAACTGATATCGGCCTCCTTCAAGTGTCGTTTCATGTCTTTCGGGTAGGATAAGCTTGCTTGAGAATGGTTTCTGTAGTGATTATTGAAAAAGTTCTTTTACTCTTCCTGTATTTCAATCTGGCTGTTGTGATGATGCTTAAAAACACCCAGGTGTCCATTAAACACATTCTCTTCCCATAAAAACTACTGATATTCCAACAGCCATTTAAGATATTGGCTATTCTCAACATGGTTTTTTTTCGATCGCATGTGTGCAAAATCGACATCTTGTGAAACTGGACTGCTGCGCTTCCGACCATCTAGGCGTGGACCCGAGCAGTTCTCGAAAATAAAATTTTCGCTTTGTGGGACGTGACCGTAGCGATTCGGCGTTTTCGCCAATCTCATAGCCCTGGACACCACGGTGTCCCAGTTAGCATTCAAAAAGCGGTTTCAAAGGATATTTTCCCTTCGTTACTAAGCAAGATATTTGATCTCGCTCTTGAAAATGAAACCTATCCTATTTTGTAGAAGTAATCACACATTTTGTCTATTCTCAAGCCTGGTCAATCTACGTCATTCGATGACTTTCGGTCAATAAACACCCGCCCGCAGTTTCGAAGATCTTAGAGACATTGATCAAATATAAGAGGGTGTGTCACTTATCATAGAACAACCTACTGGGCGCTGCATAGCATGGATTCCCCAATGCTCAGTCTTGTAAGACCTGTCAGCTCTTTTATTCGATCACGTTATCCGAACTTGGGGCAATGATTTTGCACTTTACGCTGTCTATTTCGATTTCACGTAGGATCTTGATCGTCTTCACCATGCTATTCTTCTCATTAAACTGTCCTCTTTCGGCATAGGTGGCAAATCTTTGAATTTTATATCTCCTTACCCGGGCGCTAGCACACAACGGGACTAGATTTCTAATGCTATCTCCAACCCCACATGTGTGATGTGTGGAATCATTCAGGGTAGTGAATTCAGCTGCTATTATTTTGCGTTTTTGTTTACGATGCACCAGATTTATTCCAAATCGGTAAGCCCTTCATGTATGACGACGATCTGAAGATTTCATACAAATATAGGCCGGCAGATCTTGACATCATGCTCGGGAACAACATACAGGCCTTTTCTCAGTGGTGCCGCACATGGCGCCTTTCTCTTGCTTGGCATAAATGTTCACTCATTGTGGTTGGTGACGACCATCAACCTCAAATAAGCATTGACGGTCACGACATAAATGCGCCTGGAGTTATTAAGGATCCGGGTGTTTCATGCTCCAAGTGTCTTCATCTTTCAGAGCACTGCATCCTCATGGTCTTCAAAACACTTAGAACGACCGGGTTTATCTTCAGAAACTTTGAAACTAGCGATATTAGAATGCGCCTTTATAACATGTACGTTAGACCTGGACTGGAACACTGTTCGTTTTTTAGCCTCATGCGTGCTGCCGAGCGGAAGAAAATAGTATCCGCCGAACATTTTTACCAAGAGAGTTTTATAACCGGAGCACCTAACTTTGTCGTAGCAGTACGGCGCCGGCCTACAGGCCTTGATCCTTTTGGGTTTCGTAGATTACAAAAGGGACTATTTTCACTATTTAAGTTTTTATATAATCGTACCTTTAATCCACTCACTGCCTCAAGACATCTTGTCCACCCCCACGTAACAGTCACCGTGAGATCTTTTATTTCTACCTCTGGCACATAGCGTTAGATATCACCGGTTCTTTTCCATGAACACAATTGCTATTTGGAATAAATTGTCCAGGAATGCGAAAATCCTGCAAAATTATCGTTTGTTTAAGAGAACTATTACTCTGGAAGGGGGCGCTCACCGATCGTTCATACGGAACTCACTCGTTCCGTTGTGCCTTAGGGGCTATCTCTCAAGCCCAACCAGCAGCCGCACACCGGCGCATGATATATAGGCAGAATGGCATTACCGACAAAGACAAGGGAGACTGGAATGGCCATTTCTGGCTTATTAGCCGTCGTCAGAAAGTCATACCCAAGCCCGAAGTGTGGAATACCCAAGCCTTGAACTCGCGACCTGTTAGTTAGAAGTCCACGCCTCTAACCACTGCGCCACGAGCCCATTGCCCTTTACTCCTTTTGTGCATCCAAAACAACCACAAATTTTGGGTGCTGAATCCACTGATCGACTATACCGTAGCGATGGCGTATGTGGTCTCTGATCCCCATGGTCGGTCTCACCAAGGACAATTTCTTTAGGCAACAGCGACGGATGTTAGTCAGTGTTTCTGTTTGGTCCAGGCCCCAACTTCATTAGAATAAATGGCGACTAATATTATCAGATGCAGCGCTACCCCCCCCCCCCTTTCTTGACTGTCGTCATTTCATGGGCAGCAGTTTTTTCTCCTGAACCCTCCAAACCATGCAAAATCACCCTCCTCTTATTTTTTGTTCAGTCAGTTTTTTTTCACAGCTAGCCGGATTTGTGTTTAAACTTTCCCTGACAATGCCTGTAAACGGGCACTTGATGCAATTATTATTACTATCTTAGTAAAACCTTTGGTAATATGCCAATAGAAGGCTTAGTTAAATTAGAAGCTTTTGTACTTCGCATTCCCCTTATTGACATTATTAATTCGTACCTATATAATTCTAAAGATAGATAGATAGATAATTTTTATTAAAGACCCGTCGGGGTCCCATCAAAGCAAGTTAAAATAAATTTGCATGCGAGTTTTAGACAAGGTGGGCCGAATCTTTACAAAATGCAATTCCTAGTTTCTAAATTAGAAGTCCATTGAGAAACATGATGATTGAGGGGTGAAAAAAAACTCCTTAGAAAAAGTTAAAAATGATTGGATTAATTTTACAGGAGAAAAAAAACCCTTCTTAAAAAATAATAACAGAAAAAAGCGAGCAGGACTGGCCTGTAGGTGGCGGTATATGACAGTTCGACCGTCGATTTCGACGATGTCCACCGTGTGCCCCACAGCTGCAGCAGCGGTGGGAGCAGGGACGGTGACTTACGCGGGGGTTTATAGTGCCAGTAGACTTGCGTAGCATCTACCTACACTCTCTCCTCCTCCCCCGCCTGGGCCCGGTGTCAAGACAGAGTCAAGAAGACCGAAGACGAGGGAGGCCGCAGGTGGATGGCTCGGACGGATCCTCACCTTGGCGTTCCACCACACCCCCTGGTCCACACAACAATAACCAGGATTTGAACCAACACAACATAGATTTGGAGGCTGGCACGGCCGAAGCCGCACCTGGGCGTGCCGCCAACGCCTGGCTCGGATCCCACACTGTGGTGGGAATGCCATAAAGGCCACATTAAAAAGGAGCCATTGCAGCCTGACTCTCAGACCGCCTCCAGTAATGGAGGAGGTCCAAGGTACCCCGTCAGTTGGCAACCTTCCAAGCCACGGCTTTTAGCGCACCGTGATAGCTTCAAGCGCGTCAGATTGTTTATAGTGAGGAAAATGCGCTGAGTCGTCGACCTCACTCTCCCTTCCCATTCCCACACCCCAGCCACTGTCCGAGCCGGTCAGTAGACTGGAGTGGGGAATGGGCGCGGTGGCTGACATGGTCGACTGACCATGCCTGCGCGCGCCACAGCACGACCTGGCCCCCCATACACACAAACACCAGGATTTCACACAACGGGGGTTGAACGGCGTGTCTCTCACATGCGTGAGAGGGCCGTGGAAGGTGCTGCTTCAGCCCGTCCCCAGCCCACCAGTCCGCCACTACACAACACACACACACACACAACGTGACGAACTGCGTGAACCGAGAGCGGGCCTCAATCAGCAACCTTCCTATCCACGACACTTGACGTGCCGGGATAGTCTCGGACTCAAGTCACTCGTGCAGCCGAGGCCGCATGGGGACCGAGTCGAGATGCACACTTCCCACTCGCGTGGGAGGCGGCAGTTGAGTGCATGAGGTGTGTGAGGGTTGACGTCTAGTGGGGTAATGATGTTAGGAGGTAGGGAGTGAGGGAATGTGTGGTGTGACCGGCGGTTGTCTACCGCAGGTCGTTGTGGATGCGCATGTGGCCGAATAGGCCCATGCGATGCCGGAAGGTGCGAGGGCATTGTGGGCAGTGGAGGCGAGTGCGGTGGGTGTAGGTTGGTGCTCCGGGCACTGGTTCGCCAGTCTCTGTGCGATGGATTCGCAAGTGACCGACCAGGCCGTTGTGTGAGGTGAAGGTGCGGTCGCAGTGAGGGCAGGTGGGGGTGGTTGCGGTTGCTGTGTCGTGGTTGGCGATGTGTGAGACGGCATCCTGAACGGCCACCGCTGGGGCAGTGGAGGAGAAGGAGGAGGATGGAAGTGGTGGTGCAGAAGGAGTGTCTGAGTTAGTTGGCGGAAGAGAGGACGAGGAAGAGGCGGGCGCGGGGACGATGGCTGGAGCAGTTCGAGAGGTGCAGTTGGTTCGAAGATGTCCAACAAGTCCGATTCGTGCCCGGAATGTCCGTTGACATCGAGGACACGTAGGGAGAGGTTGTGCGGCGGCGTTGCGTATTGGGCGAAGTTGTGATTTGCGGACTTCGCGTTTCACTTTGGCGGCGGCGATGCGGTTGGCTTCGTAGATAGCAGCGTCCGTCTTCACGGTTCTCCTCCATGTCGGACGATCGCGGGCGAGCTCTTCCCAGTTGGTCGGGTTGATGTGCAGGCGCTTCAGGGAGGACTTCAGAGTATCTTTGTAACGGCGAATTTGGCCTCCTTGACGACGAGAACCCGTCGCGACGTCTCCGTAGAAGAGTCGTTTGGGTAGTCGCTCGTCGTCCATGCGCACCAGATGGCCGCTCCAGCGCAGCTGCATTTGTCTCAACATGGAGTAAATGCTTAGAATTCCCGTCCGTTCTAGCACTTCGGTGTCGGGGATGCGGTCCTGCCAGTTCAGCCTCAGGATGCGGCGGAGACAGCTGAGGTGGAAGTGGTTTAGTCGACGTGCCTGCCTCGTGTACACCGTCCAGGTCTCCGCTCTGTACAGTAGCGTCGGCAGGATGACGGCCTTGTACATCTTCAGCTTTGTGCTCAGTTGGAGACCGTGACGATTCCAAACCGTGCTTTGGAGGCGACCGAAGGCTTGACTGGCTTTCGAGATCCTGTTGGCGACTTCGTCGTCGATCTTGGTGTTGCGGGAGAGCGTGCTGCCCAGGTACGGGAAGTTCTCTACCACTTGCAGTTGAGTCCCATTCACGTTGATTTGCGGCGCGTTGGGGGCTGTGGCTGAGTTGGGAGGCGGCTGATGCATCACCACCGTCTTCTGCGTGTTGATAACCAGCCCAAAGTTCTCGCAGGCGGCGGAGAATAGGTCCATGCTCCGTTGCATCTCCACTTCTGAGGTGGTGTTCAGGGCGCAGTCGTCGGCGAAGAGGAGTTCGTGCACGGTGGCTGTGGATACACGCGATTGGAAGTTCATGCACCGGCGATTCAGGAGATGACCGTCCGTTCTATAGGCGATGCGGATTCCAGGGCGTTCGTCGCGGTAGGCGTCCATCAGCATGGCAGAGAACATGAGACTGAAGAGGGTAGGCGCCAGCACACAGCCCTGCTTCACTCCGTTGGTCACTGCGAATGCCTCTGAGACAGCTCCGTTGTCCGTGACTCGCGCCATCATACCGTCGTGCAGCTGACGCACCATCTGAGTGAATCGCTCCGGACAGCCGAATTTCTGCATGATCTTCCACAGTCCTTCACGATTCACCGTGTCGAAGGCTTTCGTCAGGCCCACGAAGGTAGAGTACAGGTGGGTCCGCATCTCCTGGCACTGCTCCTGAAGTTGGCGGGCTGCGAAGATCATATCCGTGGTCCCACGATGACGACGGAAGCCGCATTGGCTTTCCGGCAGAAGGCCCTGTTCCAGATGGTTGTTGAGGCGGTTGAGCAGGATGCAAGCGAAGATCTTCCCGGCGATGTTCAGTAGGGAGATGCCGCGGTGGTTGTCGCAGACTTGGCGATTCCCTTTGCGCTTGTATAGGTGCACGATTGTTGCGTCCTTGAAATCTTGCAGGACTTCACCTTGACGCCACATCTCCTGGAAGAGCGCAGTCAGGTGATCCATCAGTAGGGGACCTCCGTGCTTGTAGGCCTCAACAGGGATTGCGTCCGATCCAGGTGCTTTCCCGCTGGAGAGCTGCTGCACGGCCCTGATCGTTTCCTGGAGAGATGGCGGGAGGTCGAGGTCCGCGTTGGTCGCCACTTGCGGCAAGCGGGCGATGGCGGCTTCGGAGATGACGGAAGGGCATAAAGACACGGTGGCGGTATATAACGGAATGTTGTCGGTCATCGTCAGGGTATCAATAAATGTCCGCCTTCATGGGTACGAATGTGGGTCAGACAGGACTGGCTTGCAAATGGCATTGTATACGGGATTCACAATTGAGATCGTCTGGGCCTGATTGGTACGCCGCGTCAAAGAGGCCAGACGAGAGGAACCGAGATGCGATCGGCCACAGCACGCTTCGAGCTCAGCCGAGCAGTGAGGAAGGGAGGTACGACCGAACTACTAGTAAACAGTGAAGACTGAGGGTTCCGCCGTGAGTGTCGACAGACCGCATGAGGTCGGAATGCGGGAGATGACATCAAAAACAGCGAAAATTGTCGCTATGGGGGGGAAGGATAGCGATGAATTTAGAAACCAATTCAAAACAGGGGTTTCTAATGATATAATTAAGAGTTACCACTTAATCTACCACTAAATCCCAGGAGGACCCTTCTCGAAGTCAAGAATCTGAGTGTTCGGGAATGAGACCGTTAACAGTGCCTTTATGCTTTCCGGTGTAAGATGGTTGCGTAATTTCGACTTGAATATCAGTAAATTAGGCGATAATCTAATTTCAGGCGGAAGATTATTCCAAAGGAAGGCATATTTGGAAGCAAAGAAGAGGGAGCGCTTAGATGTAGTACAAAGAGGCGGCGGAATCACCATGCAGGAGTTGCGCGTGACATAAGACCGATCTCTCGGAGTGAGAGTGTCAATGTGCGGAAGACTGGAGCTAGAGTTGATGCGAAAAAGGAAGCAAAGGCCAGCTTCGAGTCTTCTAACCCACAAAAACTTCATGTTCGCCAGCTGACATCTCTGAGTATAAGAAATACTGGACGAAGCTTGAGAGAACAGTTTCCGAGTGAAAACCCTCTGAACATTTTCGATTTTATTACGGTCGCAGGCGTTCATTAAACCGAAGAAAGAACAGCAATATTCGAGGACTGGAAGAACAAACATTTGATAGAGTCTTCGCTTCATTTCCGGAAGGAAAAAATTATGCGATATGAATCCACATATCTGCGCGGCTTTGGCAGAGATTCTATCTGCATGAGGTGATAAAGCAAGTTTATTTGTATAACTTAGACCTAGGTCCTTTATGGTGAGGCATTCTGAGAGTGGGTTATTCTGAAAAATTATGGGACCAGGAAGTTTGGTAGGACCAAAAGACATGAAACTACACTTGGATGATGAAAACTCCATCTGCCATGTCGAACCCCATCTGCTTAAGCGTAGTAAATCGGCATTAATTTTTTCAACACAAACATTTGCGGTGTCCTTAGAGTATGAGTAAACACACTTGAGGTCATCGGCATAAGTAAAAGTTTGCGAATTTGCGAGTTCAGTCGAAATATCATTGATGTACAGAAGGAAGAGTAGCGGACCCAGGACCGTGCCTTGAAGTACGCCACTCGTGATCGAGTGAGGTGTCGAGTAGCTATTACCGACCATGACTTTCTGATATCGGTTGGACAGATAGGACCT